CCAGGTGTGACAGCAAGAGTGGAAGAGAGTTCTGCTCAGAAGGGTTGCTGAGGCAAAGAACCAGCCCCCACCACCTATCTCCCAGTATAGTAGAGAGTTCTTACTAAGGACCATCAGATGAGGAAAGGCAGCAGCAGCCTGCACTAGCTTGGTAGGTTCTTTAATATTGGAAGGACTTTTGTGCACAGAGAAAATTCTCATCACTATTTACACTAAGTTTAAACCAATTCTTGAGTATTAAATATTGACACAAAGGTGATTATTTCAATTCCCTTCATCTACATTGATGTCATACATTTAGTATGCCTGGTTGTTTTTAAACACATCTAACACCTTAAAGAATAGAGAAACATTCCTGAACGATGATCACAAACTTATTTGTTCATTATACCAAAAGTGATATAGAAGGGCCCATATCATAGATTTGATATCTTTTCTTATTTGTTTTGATTTTACTCCTTCCTATGATTTTCTTGATCTTCTGAGACCCCAGATTACTAAACGAGGTTGCAAGTCTAGGGTCAAACAGCTGATCCTTGATCAGGAAACAGTGCTTTGTATGTGCCTAAGATGAATTGAAGTCAGACTACTTATCAGGCTGAGACTTTTTGTTGTTGTTGTAATAAAAATGTTTGTTTGTGTTTTGTTTTGTCATATCATGGCACTGTTCAGTCCCTGTCTTTTATATAAATTTTAACTCTAGAAACTTGCCTTTCTCACAAATATGTTGTTCTTAAGTTTTTGCACAACTGTATGACCAATTGTCTTATCATTACGATTATTGACTTGGTTCATTGGCATAATTGAAAACATATTAACATATATTTTCTCACTAGCATTTTATTAAAATCAGTATAGCTTCATTATAATTAATAGAATTCTTATGCTTGAAGGGATGGAGAGTTGAGATCAACTCCTTCCATTGGTCTAATTAACCTTTTGGGGACCAGTAAGGGACCATTTGTCTCATTGGTTATTGGGCCTCATCCTCTATGGTCACCAGCTTCTGAGCTCTTCTTCTATCTGGTTATTAACTGAATCACTGATGCTCCTCAGTCTTTCCTGTTTTTGGCACAGTTTTAACTTTTTCCTTGTTAAACTTTATTTTATTCTGTCTTGTTGATACAGTTATATATCACTTACCAAAATAGAGTGAAATAAAGCTTAATGTATAGCATATGTATTTAACACATCTGCTTAAAATTTCAAATATTATTTATAGTAATGCTTTTCCACTTTTTAAAATTAAAGGACACGTGAACATTGCCCATCAGATCTATCTTTCCTTTGAGCCAACAACCACTTTTTGCCTCTCATTGTAAACTTCTATGGTTTGAGAATCATTAGGAATGCGTTGAACTTTTAAGTTTCAAACTATTCCAATTAACACTTATATCCTGTCAGGCATTGTGGCTCAAGTATGAAATCCTAGCACTTTGGTAGGCTGAGGAGGGCAGATCACTTAAGCTCAGGAGTTCGAGACCAATCTGGGCAACATGGTGAAACCCTGTCTCTCCAAAAAGTACAAAACATTAGCAGGGTGTGGTGGCACATGCCTGTAGTCCCAGCTACTCAAGAGGCTGAGGTGGGAGGATCATTCGAGCACAGGAGGTTAAGGCTGCAGTGAGGAGAGATTGCACCATTGTATTCCAGCTTGGGTGGTTAGGTGAGACACTGTCTGAAACAACAACGACAACAAACCGAATTATATTCATTTTCGCTATTTTGTTATTGCTCTATGATGCTCAAATTGTGCATCGTTGGAATCATTGGAATGCAAAGACCAGTTAACTTAATGTAGATCAGAATTCTCTATAGAAAGGAACCGTACAATCCACCATATAAAAAAGCAAAAGGGAAAAAAAGGAAAATAAAAGAAAATTTAAAAAATCAAAGACACTAAATTTAATGCTTGAACTTTATTTTGGAGAGAAAAATTTAGAAAGACACAAGGTATACAGGGTGAAATGTTTTTCTTTCTTCAGGACCTTGGATTGAATCTTGCATGCTTTGGTTTCTATCTAGGAAGCTCAGCGACAGCAGAGTCTGAGGATGTGGCCACCGATGTTGCACCATCCGGCGAAGGATTCACGCAGAAAACATTTGCCGTTTCGGCAATAGCAGGTGCTTCTCGCCTGAGAACCTGTGGAAAGAAGAGAGGATCAGGCACAGTGAGGGAGGTAGGGAAAAGGATAGGCAGAGCCAGACTAACTGAGATAGTCTAAACAAGAGACACTGTATCAGTCATGTTAGGATGGAGAAAATTCATGTCTTTGTTGTAAATGACAAGAAATCGTACTACCTATGTGTTAGTCATGCAAGATCATAGTTCTTTCCCCATCTGAGTCCATCCAGGACATGTTTATTACCTGCTCCCTGGTAAAACAATATACTTCTCAACCCCGGGGTTACCTACTCTTCATTCTGCTTAATCCATACCCCTAATCTTGACCTCCATGTATGATCGGCATGTCCTAACAAGGCTCCCTAATGCACCTGCATCCGTTTCTGAGATGCTGCATTGTGCATGCTCATGTCATGGACTCAAATACTTTGGTGCTCAAGGAGTCTTTGAAGACCTTCCAAATTCAAATTCTTCATTCTCTCTCCCCCCCCTTTTTTTTTTTTTTTAACATTTTACTTATGTACTTATGTTAATTGACAAATAATAATTGTGTATATGTATGAGACACAATATGATGTTTGGATCTAAGCATGTATTGTAGAAAGATTTAATCAAATCTATTAGCCTACATTGAAACACACCCATAGGTTCCTCTCTAGGTTCTAAAAGCTTTACCAATGGACAAAGTAAAATATTCTCTCCAAAACTAAGTCTACCCATTCAGACCTGCAAATAACTAGTCAGTATAGCTCTTTCTATCTTAAAGGTAACAAATTTCACAGAAATATCTTGAAACTAAAAGTCTTAGAAAAAAGAAAATCTTTTAGATGTGTTCGGTTCTCACTGATTAATTTAGAGATGAGAAAATCAAGGTCCAGGAAGATTAAGTAAAGTCACTCAAGGGAGGTAGACTTTTCCACACTTGACGTCAGAGCCTGTCTCCAATCCTTTTGTTCTAGATTTTGCAGATCTGCAAGATTGATGTCTCCTACCTGAGGCTCTAAGAGTAGAGAGTCCATTTTCTTCAAAGGAGACAGCAAGGTCCTGGTCGTCTTCCCCAGGCTGCTCCTGGGTTGCAGCGTCATCAGCTGTTTCCTGGAGTGACTCAGCCTGGGCCTGCAGTGCCACCAGGAGAATGGCAGCAAGGATGGCAAGGGTCCTCATGGCTGGGGTCACCTGGAGGAGGGAGAGCAGGAGTGGATGTGTGGAGACTGAGGAGTGAGCCTGGATTTATAGCTCTGTTGGGAGAAGGCCTGAGACAGAAGCTGCAGTGAGAGGAGGTGGGCATGTGATTGGGAGGGGAAGGGCTGCCTTCGCCCTCAAGATCCCTTTGATGCTCCTCTTTCTCCTGGCTTTCATCACAGAGTGAGTCTGTATGCTTAATGCCTCTTCTTGATCCAAGCTGTTAATGATGATAAAGACATTACTATCCTGTCCTGTTTCCCATCTGCTTGAGTGTTTACTTTTATATATTCAGACAAGAAAAACAACAGTGCTTTCATTCAATAAATGTGGGGATCAAATGCCTCTTGTTTTCTGAAGATGGTCCCTGGTACTCTCTGGATGACTCTCTGGGATCAGACCTGGGTCCCAGTGGAGCACAGAGTTAATCCATTTTTTCTTTCTTTGCAGAGAAAGTAATAGAGGGTATTTCCCACTTATTCTACCTCATAAAAATGAGAGGATCTCAATCAGATCTGTAATATCTATAATATCAATCTGAATTCATGAATTAACAGGGAGACTGGGAGGGACTAATTTCCTGTATTGGTGATTCCAGCTTTCATGGCCCTTGTTTTACCCTGGTGGCCATTTCGCACCAGGTTTTAAACCATCTGTATTTGTACTGCTGCTCTGTTTCTCACTGGACATTGCTGAGTTTGCAGATAGCATTCCATGATTGCTTCCTAGCCTGCATCTCTCTGGCATTGTCTCTCTGAATCTCTAGAAATGACTGAAGAAACAATTTGGAACATTTTTATTCCGGTTCTAACCTTTCTCCATGAATTCTGTCATGTGTTTGATCACCCAGAGTCCTTATTAATTGTAGAAATTGATATCTTCAGTCTCTCTTCATCCTTCTCTGACCCCGAAGTTAATTGGGTGAGCAGAAAATCTGGAAAGAGAAATGGGTGGTTTAAAAACCACTGTCCAGGCCCTGTGGTATGCTCAGACAGCAGAGCTGAGCACTGGCCAAGCCAGAAGATGCCCAGTGGCCCATCTTCCCAGGACCAGGCCCCCGTCGGCAGCTCATTGCTCAGCCTTGGACACAACTCTGTTGCCAATCAAGTTTCTTATTATTTCTGGCAGAAGTATTTCTAGAGAACTCCTCTGGGCTGGGCGCAGTGGCTCATGCCTGTAATCCCAACACTTTGGGAGGCCAAGGTGGGCAGATGATTTGAAGATAGGAGGTTGAGAATAGCCTTGCCAACATGATAAAACTCCGTCTCTACTAAAAATACCAAAATTAGCTGGATGTGGCAGCGGGTGCCTATAGTCCCAGCTACTCTGGAGGCTGAGACACGAGAATCACTTGAACCTGGAAGGCAGAGGTGCAGTGAAGCATGAGATTGCACTACAGCCACTCCAGCCGTGGCAACAGAGCAAGAACTCAGTCAAAAAGAAAGGAAGGAAGGAAAGAAGGAAGGAAGAGGAAGGAAGGAGGAGGAGAGAGGGTGGAAGAGAAGGAAGGAGGAAGGAAGGAAGGAGAGAGAGAAAAAAAGAAATGAAGAAAAAAAGAAAGGAAAAAAGAAAGAAAGAAAGAAAGAAAGGAAGATGAGAAAACTCCACTGACATTATGGAAAAAATTTTTAGTTTCCTAATGTGTTTATAAATAATTATTTAGATAAAATGCCTTTGCCGTTCCTTCGTTTCTTTAACTGTAGCAAGATGCCCATTATCTATTGTCCTCTTGACTTCAAACCTGCTGTCATTTAAAACAAAACCTGAAAAACTGTTTTTCTTGTCCTTTATTCTGACTCTAATCTTGCCTCTTCTATACGCGGGGCTGGGATAAAAACAGGATTTGCATCCATAATATGGACATTCATTCTTAGAAGGTGTGTACTCCCTGATCGATGATTTAATTATTTAACATAAAAATTAATTTAACTGTGCTAAAAAGTAGAGGGCAAAGAAATTAGCCTGAAAGAAAACACTTAAGCTAGCAACAGAATCTGGTTTTATAATAGAGGTTTTGTATTCCAGGATATTCCAGGGAACAAATAATGCTTAGAAGTGTGTTTATTACTGGTAACAGTCAAGCAGATGGGAGACAGGAAGAGTGATAGGGGTCTTCATGAACATGAAGAGCAGGTGTTTCAGTGCAGCCCTGGATTGGAGAACCGTCAAAGGTCTGAACTATCAACCCAAAGGATGCCGCTATCCCACAGCCACACAGGTTTGGGGTAGCTCATTGCCCTGGGATGCTGCTTCCTCCAGATAGCACAGAGCTGGGGTCTTTTCAATCCCCTTGGTCCTCAAAATCCTTCGGTCCCTTGAGAGACATTGACCTATAGGAGGCTCACCGCCCTGAGGACCCTTGTCCTTCTCTGGAGCCTCTTGGAGAAAGTGCACCAGGGCCTAGCCTTGGAACAACCTGGGACAAAGGACCCAGATGTAGGTGTCCCCTTTGCAGGGATGAAAACTGCATTACGGGCTTCACATAAGACAGCAGGCCAATGTGCTGTCTGTTGGGAGCTGTGGTCTCAGTGGTGTCATCAACTAACTGTGGAGTCATTAGTGAATGACTTCACCTATCATGGCCTCTGTCTTTTGACTCTAAATTGGGGGCCATAGACTCTCTCCAAGAGGTCTTGGGTGCAAAAATTTGGTTTTACGGCCTGTGCATGTCAGTCTGAGCAGCTTCGGCCTCAGAGGCTAAACCAGATGTATTAGAGTTTGGAGTCTGCACTTCAGGGTGTGTGTGCACCTGTGCGTATGCTTGTATGTTTACATGTATGTATGCACGTGTAGTGAGGGGAGTGTGTTGGGAGGTGGAAACTAGGGATGTATGTGTTGTACGTGTGCATGTGCATGTCTCTGAGTCTGAGTGCCTGTGTGCAGGGAGAGGGGACTGTGTGATAGAAATGACAGAAAACATGAAAGGAAGAACGAGATCTTAAATGGCCGACAGGTGGCCAGTTATGATCTCTTTATTCTGCTCTAATAGGATCTGCGAGGTATGTTTTCCGTGAGCAGACACAGTCCTCCTCTGGGCTGCTCTGATGTGATTTCCTGTACCCCGAAACGCAGCACTGTGCCCAATATGCTGCTCCATCTTCCTCAAGGTCACCAGGTGAGGGGCACCTGCAGTTGCAGACCCACCTGTTGCCACTGGGCATCACTCTGGGACCCGTATCCTCAGCGACACCTGCTACAGGCTCAGCTGTCCTTGTGCTTTGTTAATTGAGACCCAGATCAGGGCAAGATTCCATTTGAAAACCTGGAAACAAACAGGTTAGTCTCTTTACCTTGTGCTTTATCTTCTCTCTATCTCCAAAAATGCGTTTTCACGATAAACTCAATGTATTTGGGCCATGTAGTCTCCCCTTTTCTTTGCCTTATTTGTTTCTTTACTTGTTTTTCTTACCCTTTTGTTTCTATTATCCTGGTCATTTTCATAGAGATGTCGATGCTGCACTTTCTACCCTGAGGAGCTGGACCTCAGGGTAGAAAGGTCTACTTGTCCAGGTCACTCAGGGCCAGGACAAAAAGAGGATTTCCACCGATAATATGGACATTCACTCTTAGAAGGCATGTACTCCCCTGATGGATGAGTTAATTATTTAACATAGGAATTAACTTAACTGTGTTAAGAAAGTGGGGTGCAAGGGAATTGGCCTGGAAGAAAATAAGATAGCAACAGAATCTGGTTGTATACTAGAGGTTTTGTATTCCAGGATATTCCAGGGGACAAATGATGCTTAGACATGCCCATATTTATTGCTGGTAACAGGCAAGCAGATGGGAGATGGAGAGAGATAGGGGCCTTCAAGACCATGAGCACCTCTGGCTCCTCCTTGTGGGCACCTACAGCCCAGTTTTGCACTATTGGATGAACCTTCCTCACTTGTTCAGAGGCTGCTGGACACCAACTGCAAGAGCACAGCTGTGGGGGCATCCTATGTCGTCCGTGTGCTGACTCTGAGATACTGAGCAAGTGGCATAACTTCTCTGTGCCTCAGTTTCCACATTTTCTAAAGAGGAATAAGCGTAACAGTTATTATATAACAATAGCACCTACCTTACAGGATTTTCTGAGGAATAAAAAGGGTAAGGGCGTTGACGTTCTTAGCTCTGTTCTTGTCACACACGTGTCAGCCATGCAGTGTGTCATTTTAAATGGCCTCTGAGGTCTTTCCAATTCGAGTCCAGTGTTCACATGCTCACCACCTGCTCGTGGCTGCCTAGGCAGAGGGCTGAGCTTGTTCCTGTCTTAGTCTTGTTTGGATCTAAGACCCAAGGGCAGGACTCATTGGAGATGTATAATGTATAATGGTGGTGAGCTGTCTGTGGCAGGTGTGACTGCTAATATTCTATACTGTGTTAATAACAGTTTACTTTGTCACTTCATTATGTGACCATCAGTAGCAGAACGAAGAGATGTGAGTAAAAGCTTAGCATGGATTCTAAGATTTTGACTTGGGGTTGGAGGAGCTCATGTAGTTCACATAACTTTAGAACGTCTTTATTATGAATAAAATGCCATAGTTCTTGGTTACACTGAGAATGACGCTGGCCGGGCGCGGTGGCTCACACCTGTAATCCCAACACTTTGGGAGGGTGAGGCGGGTGGATCATGAGGTCAAGAGATCGAGACCATCCAAACTGGAATTCCCAGTTTTCCAGCCTGGGGTACAAATTCTGACTAGGGCTGTCCTGTTCCCAGCAGCTCTCTAGGCTGCAAGGCCTGGATTTAACAGCTACCCCATGAGCCATGTGTACATGAGATACCACACAAGGCCAATCATGGAGAACACTGACATCTTGTCACTCAGGGCTTCTTCCCAGTGCTTCCATATTGACACAGATTATGGGGTCAGCTCACACCCACTTTTCCTTGGAGCCTTTCTCCCGCATGGCCACGTTTGGTGATGGCTCTTCCATATGGGCTTTGCCTGATGTAGTTGTTGTCTCTAATTTGAAGGCTTCTTCTCCTCATTTGCTGCCTCTGACTGCACCCTCATTGGGTTCTGGAGCAATAATCCCTACTTCCTGCCAGGAGGAATAAGTGGGAAATATTAGCTAACCTTTAAACCTGGTAAAAACGGGAGCTTTTGCCAGAAGTTGCTTGTCAAATGGAGAGATGTGGTCTAGCAAAAGCCTCGTGGCCCTGCTGGGTGCCAGTGGGCCTGGGGCGTCAGTCCTCAGAAGATCATAGTTTACTATCCATCCACAATCCGTTGTTCAGTAAATGTTTGATGTTGAGATGGTGGATGTCCTGTGATGGTGTGGGGAGGTCTCATTATTGGAGAACATGTAAATGATGTTATCTCTAAGGGAAAAAGGAGCTAACTCTTCTGTGATCACCAAGGTGGGCAGCACAGTGGGTCTAGTCCAACTGTGATGAGGCGATGGTGGCCATGGGTTGAGAATTAAAAAAGTGATGGCCCTTGGAAAGACCTTGGTGCCTTGGGTGTCCGTAGCACATCCAGAGACATTAATAACCATGACTTCAGGAGGCCACCGTGCTGCTTGAGGAGGCTGGTGGCTTGGAGATGATGAACTAAATGAGACTCCCTTAACCCACCCCAGTGTTGTGATGCCCTGAGGTGGGAGCCTCCATCTGAATCAATGACACGTGTGGTTCTAAAGGAGAAAGTTAAGAAATGCCACGAAAAGAAAACACCTGCTCCACCCAAGGCATAAGGAGTTACCTTCCCTGGAAGACTACACGTGCAGAAGCCCATAGCCAGGACTAGTGTGCTTTGTCCAGAGGCTCTGAGAATTGTGATGGGCGGGAGTGAGGGCCTCCCCGTGAAACTCAGATCCTGTGGCCCAGGCATGGCCTGGAGAGATCACCTGCTGGGCCAGCTACAGACTGTATCCTGCTGTGGCCCCAGTGGATGCGAAGGGCTTCTGAGTGATGGCATTGGTGGGCTGCAGCAGAATGGACAAGTGGGGTATAGCTGTCTCCAAAGACACGATGTCCCAGTACATGGAAGGCCTGCCGCAAAGTGGCTGGCACACTAGTGGTGAGGATTTGGTTTTTAACTGCAAAGGGACTTTGTCAGCCCACTGAGGACCAACTGATGCCCAGAATCTTTACAACAGTGCTGGAGGGGCCATGAGTGTGTCCTGCAGAAACCTGGGCACTGTGCAGGAAGAGGGAGATCGGGTGCAGCAGCCCTGTCGCAGATGTGTGGCCTGGCCCAGGCGGTGGCTTTTCATGCAGCACCCAGAGGGATT